TACCCCAATGGTTTGACACACTTAATGATGATCAAAAAAAAATGTGCTCGCGAATCTACGAACTTTGGGGAACTTACTATAAAAAATATGAAACTTTAGAAGATAATCAAAAAGATACATATCTAAAATTTGATGGAAATTTTTTTGTTTTGGGTGGTAGATTTAATGAAATGTACTACTGGGACACTTATTGGATAGTTATAGGATTAGTGGCCTGTGATTTAGAAGATGAAGCTTTTAATTTAATTAAAAGCTTCGTAAATATTATCGAAAGTAAAGGATTTATTCCTAATGGTACAAGAAAATATTATTTAAATCGGTCACAGCCACCATTTTTCCCGCATATGCTATTTTATTTGTATGAGAATACTGAGAATCAAAAAATAAGAAATTTTATTCTTAGCAAAGGATTAGACGCCGCTATTGAAGAACATAGATTTTTTATGAAAGTTAAAGTTACAGGGGAAGAAACTGAGAATACTTTTAATGTTTATAAAGTTTATAGCGATAAACCTAGATTTGAGTCCTATAAAGATGATCTTAAAACCTATAAAAATTCTAATTATAATGAAAACATCTACAGTAATATAGCAACTGCCGCCGAATCTGGCTGGGATTTTTCATCTAGATGGTTAATTGACGACAATCTTTTGCATACTAATGATATTATTAATATTGTTCCAGTAGATTTAAATGCGATAATGCTACGCAATGAACAAATTATTCACTATTTTTTAAATATCAAATCTAATATTAAAGGTGATTTGTCGTCAACGACGAGTGTAAAGCTTTATCGGGATGCTGTTAATTATCGATTAACGGCTATTAATAATTTTTTGTGGAACAAGAATGAAGGTGTCTGGAATGATTTTAATACAAAAACGAAAAAGTTTACAGATAAAAAATTTTATATTTCAAATCTCTATCCATTATTTTGGATGAAAGACGTGTCAAAAAATACGATTTATTCGATTTTATACAAATATAAACAAGAATTATTTGGGTTTATAGGTGGTATTCCAGTGAGTGGAAAATCCGAAAATGAGCAGTGTAATCAACAATGGGATTATCCTAATGTGTGGGCACCTTATACACAATTATTTATTGAATTTTTATTAAAAAGTGATGAAAAAGAATTGGCACTGCACGCAGCAAGATCTTTCTATTTAAGTGTAAAAGATAAATTTTTAAATAGTGGCTATTTTTTTGAAAAATACAACTGTGAGAATTTAGGAAAACAAGGGGATGGCGGCGAATATGCTGTAGTGAACGGATTTGGATGGACCAATGGAACAATAGTATGGTTAATAAAAACGTTTAATAAAGAATTGGATATTGAATTTGATCATAAAGAATCATATGAAAAAATAGTCAAGTATTTGGAGAATAAATTGCAAACACAAAACGAACATACAGAAACAACTTCAAATTAAAGTTATTCGTTTTT